TTTTTGATCTTCATTATGGACGATATCAAATCGGAATACAAAACTTACAGTTCATAGATGATGTCGAGTAGGACCATAAAGTTGTTTACCAATGTATTTGCAACAATTGGATAATTGGATGTTAGAGTAAATACAGGAAACAGTGCCAAGAAGTAGAAGATAATTTGAAAGCCAACTCCTTTATGCTCGTTATCATGAAGAAAATTTAGTGGATAGACATCAAACAATTCTTTGAATGCCAATGTACCAGTGAATGAAAGGAAGAAATAAAAGCCAAAAATGACTCCATAAACCAACATTAACCAAAATGAAAACTTCTTTTTCGATCTGAAAAATAACACAATTATAAAGCAAATACCACAAAATTAGTTGTTAGATTGGTCATGAAATTATTTTCCAACCCTATTTTATTCACATGTTGATTATTTTGATTATTTTTTAAAAGACAGTGCAAATGAAAAACATTTTTTTTTTCTTTGCATAGTTAATTCTATATACACTTACTTCATTGGTGTAACAAGGCTTGGTAAACTATGGTGACACATAAAAGCATAAACAGTGGTACCAAACAGAGAACCAAAACCATGAATACTTGCAGCTTTTGGTATCAGAGCGCCATGTTGTCCAAAACGAACACAGGCCAAGACAATCATTATTATGAATGCTAAAACCAAATGTTTTTCGTAGACAAAATTTCACAATCTATTTTCACTTTTATTCATTGGCACAACTTCTTCAACATTTAGCAGATACAAATTTCAATTTAAAATTTGACTTGAAGTAAATGCTTAAGTTGTATAAATTTATGTCGGCTAACTGCAGTTCTCTATTACATATTCTTTGTAAGCTTAAAGATTTTACAGTGTAGATGATTGACAAGTCTGCACCAAAAATTGTTAATTTATTTTTTTAGTAAAGACAATTATGAGATCAGACGCTACATACCACTCCATCTGCAAACCGAAGTTGCTATTTGCATATACTTAGTTCGAGTAACACCGATGATTACAAGTGGTGTAACAAACAACGTGAATGCAGCTACTGAAAGCCGGTAAACTGCGATTCGTGTAAGCCATTCCGGCCAACTTCCGTAGCATGGATCCGTATTTTTGACAACTGTGGATCTTGATGAATCGCTAAAACAATAATTTCTCACCTATATTACCAGTTCGGAAAAAAAAATTCAAAAAAAAAAAGAACAGTAGTTGAACTGATAAAAATTATTTTTTGCTTAATCAGTCAAAAAAAGTTGCTACTGACTTTGAAATTGAATGATTTATGCGATAGAAATGTCAAATAAAAAGTGACTTACAAAAAAAAGCCTACCATATAACGTTCATCAATGATTTGGGTACTGTGGTAGAATAGATTGCAAGATCGCCAAACAGATAGATTGTCATAATAAAGCTTAGAAACATAACTCCGTATTTACCAAGAAACAGTTTAGCCATTCCACTCTGCAATTATAAAGCAGTGGATTACAGAATTTTTCACTCTGTAAACTTAGTCTAAAACTCCTTCTTTTTTTTTCCTTTTTTTCCTCCTTCTCATATAGTGCCATTACTGTATGAAATGCACAGTTAGATTAAGACGTGCATCCGTACATAAAATTTGCTTCATCTGTAGCAAATATCGTCACCACATTGCTTATAGTTTTCAAAAGCTTTATATTTTATTTCTTGAAAATTTGGCAACTCATATGAAAACACCGCCAAATACTGACCACTTCAATCCGTTTGTTAATTTCAAAGGCAGATTTCAGCTCGACTTCAGTTTTATTTTTTTCTTTCCGCAGCATAACACGATGCTCGTCGGCATTTGCAATGCCCATTGCTTCGATGACAAATGTTGCGGCCACATAACTGCAAAATAGTATGCATCAGTTTGTTCAGTCTTTCTTGAAACTTATCAGTTTTTTTGTGAACAATTTTGAAGGCAACAAAAAGAAAAAAAAATCTTTATAGTTTATTGTCAGATGCAGGGTATTTTCCCCATCGTTAAAAAAAAAAATTTCTTTCATTGCTCAGGGAACACGGAAGTAACAGTCATCCAAGTGTTTTATCAGTGATGTTGCTTTGCGTACCTATCAAAAGCATCAGAAACTACAAAAAACCATTTACTGTCCTATAAATTCATCTCTCCTCTTCTCTTCCTACCCTCCTTTTCATCTTTTTGTAAAGAAAAAATTGCACGATTAACAAAAAGCAAATTTTTGAGTACCATAATGTTTATGATTCAAGCTATGCAGAAATTGTTTTTAAATTCGGGAGAGGAAAATTTTTGCACAGCTCAGATTATAAACTGTTTGCTCTTTCCAATCCTACTTTTTTTTTCACGTTTTTTTGCAGTTAAATGCCAAAATAAACAAAAAATTGGTAATGCTGATTGTTCACAAACACACATGGAAATTTATTTGTCCTTTTGCCAGCATCTTCGCTCAGTTGTTTATGTGGCTGCTTAAGATTCCATATAGGTTGCAGTACTCTTAACATTTGTATAGTTGCTATGATTAGCAACTGATACACTGTACTTTGTTCATCATTTTCAAACAAGCCAAAATAACGAGAAAGAAGAAAAAGAGAAAAAGATGATATGAGAATGACAAAGGCGACTGCATTAATAAAATTAATTTTTGATCCAAATAAATAAACTTTCTTTG